TTCACTTGTGAAGTGGGTATTTTGGTAATAAATAATCTCTTAGGAAGCAGCATCACCAATGACAAAGTTACTAGTTTAGTCCCAAGAGCCTATTAGTTATGTAATTAAACTTTTAATATTAATAGTAACCATAAGCCTCTCTCAGCAGTGGTTGGAAGGAATGGAGCAAAGGGCTTGAGCCTTGGCATTAGTAGCTCTGGCTGTGATGGGGAAGGGAACAGAAGAGAGAACTCTGGCAGAAGTACCTCACTTGGGAAGAGGAGGGTGATTGCATCTGAGGCTCAGGGTACAGTGATTATATAGTTTGTTAGTCTGGACTAGGGAGTAATGAATGTACTGTGCCTTAAAAATGCTCCAACTTGACATGTACTTTTTGAAAAGGCTTATCACAGTAAATATAGCTCTTTAGGCAAACATGCACTTTATTAAAGTGGTTCAGTTGCCATGGCAACATATCCTGAATTTATAGTTCCTTGTTTTGAGAGGGCTTCATTTCTACTTTCTGAGACACTGAAATCCAAGGCTAAAGTTCTTAACAACCTGCAGTTTCATTGTGTAATGAAGTTCTGTTATTTAGAGAATTTATACATGTGAAGTGTAGATTGCAGAATCAATCTTGGGACTTTTACAGTCATATGCATTAATTTTAAGAAGACATTTTTCAATTTTGAAATGCCCTCTTTCTTAAATTTTTATATTATCATAACTGTGTATCTCATATTTAATAACCAGAAAGAGCTATTCCAAAAACTAACAGCCTCCTAAGCTTGTTCCCCAAAGACAACCACTTGCCCTTCCAGCTGATTTTTAAAATGTTTACATCAAATCCCTCCAACACTGTGCTTATATTGCTTGTTCATTTGTATTACTGCTTACTCTATAATTTTAACTGTCATCAATTGGCTTTTCAATATGGAAGATAAAATGTTAGCTCTTGGCCAGCGCCGCGGCTCACTAGGCTAATCCTCCACCTTGCGGCGCCGGCACACCGGGTTCTAGTCCCGGTCGGGGCACTGGATTCTGTCCCGGTTGCCCTTCTTCCAGGCCAGCTCTCTGCTGTGGCCAGGGAGTGCAGTGGAGGATGGCCCAAGTGCTTGGGCCCTGCACCCCATGGGAGACGAGGATAAGTACCTGGCTCCCGCCTTTGGATCAGCATGGTGCGCCGGCCGCAGTGCGCTGGCCTCGGCGGCCATTGGAGGGTGAACCAACGGCAAAGGAAGACCTTTCTCTCTGTCTCTCTCTCACTGTCCACTCTGCCTGTCAAAAAAAAAAAAAAAAAATGTTAGCTCTTTACCCACCATCCTACACATACCTTGTTTCCTGTTCCAGTATATCCATCAAAGTGGTGGATAGTTAGAGTTTTATTGATTTTTATAGCAACATGTACCAGTTTGGACTTGATCAGTATTCACCAGATATCCCATTAGAACCAAGATTACCATATTTACAGATGAATCAATTGTTATTCTATGAATTTTTTTGAAGATCTATCATTTACTTGAAAGGCACAGTGACAGAGAGGGAGAGACAGTGAGAGAAATATTTGACCTACTGGTTCACTGCCCAAATGCCCACAACAGCCATGGCTGGACCAGGGCAAAGCCAGAAGCCAGTAACTCCATCTGGGTCTCTAACATAGGTTGCAGGGACTCAATACTTGGGCCATTATCTCTGCCTCCCTGGGTGTGCATTAGCAGGAACCTGGATTGGAAACAGAGGCAAGTCTCAATCCTAGACACTCCAGTATGTGATGTTGGGATCCCAAGTGGCAGCTCCTGTTGTAACATTATTTTCTTTGGAGATCATAGTTTTTTTTTTTTTTTTTAATTTCTTCTGTTTGTTTAGGTTTCTGTGTAATAACCACTAAATCATAACCAAAGTTTCTCCTAGCTGTGTAATATCCTCCCAATATATTAAAACATTAGATATTTTATTAAGCTTATCTTCTTAAAGAAATTTCCCTGGGCTGGTGCTGTGGCACAGTAGGTTAAGTATCTGCCTGCAGCGTCAGCATCATATATGAACACCAGTTCAAGTCCTGACTGCTCCACTTCTGATCCAGCTCCCTGCTGATGGCCCAAGTGCTTGGGCCCCTGAACCCGTGTGGGAGACCTGAAAAAAGCTTCTGGCTCCTGGCTTCGGATCAGCCCAGCTCTGGCCATTGCAGCCATTTGGGAAGTGAACCAGTGGACTGAAGACCTCTCTCTTTGGCTCTCCCTTTTTCTGTCTGTAACTATGCCTCTCAAGTAAATAAATAAGTCTTCTAAAAAAACAGAAGAAATTTCCCCTGGAGCCTTCTGATCAGCTCCTGTCTGGACTGTTGGTACTCAAATGTGCTGCAGAACTCCCATCATGAGAGTCTCTTTACTTCTCCCTTGTGCTAAATCACCTTTCTTTGTTATTATTTTCTTTGTTTACTCCCTTGTTTTGCTGGAGAACATTCTCCAGCAGCTTCCCAAGACAGGGTGCAATGAAGATAAATTATTTTTTATTTCCATATTTGGAATTATGCTGCATATTTGAAAATCTTTACTCAACCTTTGTGCCTGATTTTTAATTTGTCTGGTTTTGAAATTCTTAGAAATCATTCTCTGACTTAATGTTAAGAAACCAAATACAACTCGGGTTTTGTTTCATTTTGGTCCTATGAATCTTTTCCTGCTCTCTCCAGAAGCTTAAGGAGGCATTTCTTTGTCCCCACTGTTCTGAAATTTTTGTTGATGAGTCTTGTTCTGGGTCCATTTTCATTCATTGTAAAGGATACTCAGGGTTCTTCTCCATTTGGAAACTCATGTCCTTTTCTTTAATTAGTTTTTCCTTCTGTGTTTATTCTTTTATTTCCTGGAAATCCTATTATTTTACTGTATTTTGTTTCCTGGAAATCCTATTACTCATGTATATTACCCTGGGCCCTTATATTCTATTCACTTTCTCGGAGATTTCCAATGAATTTTAAATTTCTGCTATTATATTTTTAATCTCTGAGAGTAATTTATTATTATTAGGACCACATTTACCATATTTACAGTTCAACCATGTGATATACTATGGATACATTTTAAGATTATTTATTTGAGGGGCCAGTGCTGTTCCCCAGTGGGTTAACACCTGGGCCTGAAGTGCTGGCATCCCATATGGGCACTGTTTCTAGTCCCGGCTGTTCCTCTTCTGATCCAGCTCTCTGCTATGGCCTGGGAAAGCAGTAGAAGATGGCCCAAGTCCTTGGGCCCCTGCACCCGCATGGGAGACCTGGAAGAGACTCCTGGCTCCTGGCTTCGGATGGGCGCAGCTCCAGCCGTTGCAGCCATCTGGAGAGTGAAACAGTGGATGGAAGATCTCTCTCCCTGTCTCTACCTCTCTCCTCAGCTCTTTCAAATAAATAAAATAAATATTTTTTAAGAGAGATTATTTATTTGAAAGGCAGAGGTTTGTGTCATCCTGTTCTTATTTTATGCAGTCTCTTCTATTTCTCTTTATATAACTTACCTGTTCATTCAGGTTGCTTTCTACAAATGCATGGTGATCTTTGGTTGTTTTCCTACAAGAAAGACACTAACTGCTGAGTGGAAACTCTGTGCATGGATATGACTTATAGACTGTGACCTTCAATAAAGTGTGACCTGACAGGGATATTTTGTTGTAAAGCCTCTCGTGCCAGTATCTTTAGTTTTTTTCTCCTTGACTTAGATTTATTTGAAAAGCAGAGTGACAGAGAAAGAGGAAGAGCTAGAGTGAGAGCAAGAGCAAGAGAGAGAGAGAGATAGGAAGAGAGCTAGAGAGAGAGAGACATCTTCTCATCTCTTATCCACTAATTCATTCCCAGATGCATCTACCAGCCATGTCTGGGCCAGGTGGAAACCAGGACTTGGGCCATCATCTGTCTTCCTAAGCGTATGAGCAGGGAGCTGGAATGGAAGCAGAGAAGCCAGGACTCAAACCAGCACTCCAGTATGGGATTCTGGCATCACAAGCCATGACTTAACCCACTGCAGCACTACGCCTGCCCCCAGTGTTCCTGTTCCTGATTTTCTTCTTTCTACTCCCTAATTTCTCTGTGTGTTTCTTTCTGTTTCCTCAGACCTCCCTCCTATGCTTTTGTTCCTATCACATCAGCTTCTTCTGGAAAGTCCTCCCTCTCAGAGACAAGATAAATGCCCTCATTTTCTAGTCCTCTTAGCCTATCTCCTTTAACTGCCTGTTTGTAAGCCTATCTTAATTCCTTAAGGTTAAAAAAATACTCTCTTTAATCTTTAAACTTCAGTCCTAGGTTTCCTATTCTTTTAAGTTTCTCATTTAAAAACAACAAATGGGGACCAATGTGTGGCGCGGTGGGTGACTGGCATCCCATATGAGTGCTTGTTCCAGTCTCGGCTGCTCCACTTCCAGTCCAGCATCCCTGCTAGTGACCTGAGAGGATGGCTCAAGTGCTGGGGCCCTAAACTCATGTGGGAGACCCAGAGGAGGCTCCTGGACCTTGGCTTCAACCTGGCTCAGCATTGGCCCTTGTGGCCATGGGGAGTGAAACAGCAGATGCAAGATCTCTCTCTGTCTCTCTCTGTAACTCTGCCTTTCAAATAAAAAACTGAATCTTAAAAAAAAAAAAAAAAAAAAAAAAGCTATTCATCTAATTTTTTTACATTTCATTTTCTCCTTAAATCTATTCCACTTAGTTTTCTATGTAAGCTTTTTTTTTAAAAGTTGCCTTCTAAACAAAACTGCCAATCCCTTCTTAGCCGTAGCCTATTTCCACTTCTTTTTTGTCTTTTTTATTTTTTTCTCTCCTAATTCTTGTCTTGCCCTTGTTTATCTCAGTTTTCTTCCCTCTTCTTCCACATGCCTTATATGTGGGCTTCCACTTTCTTAGGCCGCCAAAAGAACAAAGCTTTTAAAAGTTTAAAGAAATGTATTGATTTTTGAAGCATTTTTCTTGCCCTATTGAAATTGATGTGATTTGCAACACATATTTTTATGACAGTAATAAGTGGACTTTTCATATTTAGGCAGGAGCTGTAAAGGATTATATTAAGATGATGCTCCAGAATGATTCACTTAAATTCCTGGTTTTTGCACACCATTTAAGCATGCTCCAAGCTTGCACGGAAGCAGTCATTGAAAACAAGGTATGTTGCCATTTTTCTACAAAATACTTTCTACAATGCAGAATTTTACTACACTAAACATTAATTAGAGTCCCATAATTGAAGGACCTTTTTTTTTGCCTTCTTTAGATGACCATATATGAATTATTTTTGATATTTTTCTTGAAATAATATATAACTGTTAATATACTGGCATACTATTAAATTTTCCCTTTTACACCAATCATTATTTTCCATTTATCAGATTATCTGCATTAATTAAAGTCATGTTCCTTGTGAATTCTGTTTTTGATCATGTATATATAAGGCTACTTCAGAAAGTTCGTGGATAAGTCAAATTAAAAGCTAATGAAGCTAATGCTCATCACTTCTTAGCCCTTTGGTTAAGATCAAGTGTAAAAGCTATTGCTCACTTCCCACAAACTTACTGAAAAAGTAAAAGCAGTCTTCAAAAGTTTCATGAAAAAACACATAAAATGAAAAAACCCCCTGGGTTTCAAAATTTTTTTGCACCAAAATAAATTCCTGTTTGTATTCCATTTTTCCATGAATTTTTGGAGATACTCTTGTGCTGTTAGAGAGTGGTGTAGGCACTTAAAAGTTAAAATTTTTGTTTGCCTACATGGTGGTCCTTGAATGTGGGTGACATAAAGAGAAAAGGGAGAATTAATTCATTCAGTTTTGGTGCCCCACTGTAGTCATACAGTTCTGGACAGTAGACTGGAAAATGATTAAGATTGAGTATAGGGGCCACATTGTGGCATAATGGGTTAAGCTACGGTTCAAGTCTGGGCTGCTTCACTTTCATCCAGCTCCCTGTCGGTGTGCCTGCGAAAGCAGCAGATGATGGCCCAAATCCTTGGATCCCTGCATCCATGTGGGATACCCAGAAGAAGCTCCAGGCTCCTGGCTTCTGTCTGGCCTAACCCTAGTCATTATGGCCATTCTGTCTCTCCTCCTTTCAAATAAATAAAAACCCTATAACCCTGCCTTTCAAATAAATAAAGAATAAAACTCTGAAAGGAAAAGAAAAGTATTCATAGGGTTAAAAGTGAATTTCTCCCAAACTCTCCTTAGCATGGCCATGCATTTTCCTTAGAAAGACCATGAAAAGATTTTATAACCTTCCCTATTAGATATTAAATGGGACACAAGTCAATTTATATTTGTTTTGTAAAGTTGTGTGGGACACAGGGATCCCCAGCTGGGTTCATTTGTTTTGTTTCAAATTCAGAGACATAGATAAAGTACAAGAATGAGAACAGAACTTATTTAAACAGACTAAAGGGATAGCACACATTCAGAGCATATGTGGGCAGCCTCTCTCCATGAGGAAAGAGTAGCATCTGTCCCCAGCCAACCTCAGGCCACCCCTTTATTGGTGAAGCTGGTGGTCTAATTGAATATACGAATAGGGCAGAGTTTGGGCAGATCTTCAGTGCACATGCTGTCTCCGGACATCTCCACATGGAGCAGCATACATGTGGCCATCATGGTGTCTTATGCATGCTGGGGAAGTAAGGCTCCCGTACATGATGGGAAAGCAGATGTGAAGAGACTGTAGCCGTGTTGGATCAGCACAGAAGGTGGTGGAGTTTTAGCTGTTCAAGGGCTCCAGCACAGAAAACTGCTGGCACTCTCTCAGCTCTTTTGTTCATTAATTAGCTCCTTGCCTCGCTCATTTCAAGGGCAGATAGTAAGGGCCATTCTATTTAGTGATAATTTGAATATATACTTATAAAAGTGACTATTCATATGTTTCAACTAAAGCCTTAGTTGTTTTCCATAAGGTGCATTTACTTCAAATTCAGGCCTCATACTTGTTTTTACAAAGTTGAGTAATGAGTTCTTTTTAGCTATTATAATACACAGTGATTACTTCCTTTTCTCAACTCAAATCTTTCTTAAAGACAACACTGTTCAGTTTAATGTTTCCCTACTTTTTAAAGATGTGTGTGGGTGTGTCAGTTCTCCACATCAATGAAGAGAAGTATATCACATGTTTCTTTTAATGTGAAAAAAAGATAACTCAGTGATAGAATAAAAGTGTTATTTTCTCAGTATTTGGGCTATTTCAGAAATAAATGCAGTATTCTTTGTAATACATGGCACAATCATCTTTCTCCTTTCTCACTTGTCTGCTTTATTTTTATTTTGGAATTAGTGGCCCTATAACTGATCCATCATTTAAATTTGCATATCAGTTTACAAAGAATCTTACTAAGACAACATCAGCTTAATTCAAAAAGATTGATTCAGCTCTTGCTCTACAAGGCATTTGCCCTTGGCATTGATGGTATAAAGATGAATTAGACATAGACACTATCCTCAAGTAGCTTAAAAGATTAAAAACTAAGAAATTGGTACAAGAAGCTATTAAGATACTTGGTTAAGATTCTTCTTGCATAACATTTACCAGCCTGTCATCTTAACCAATTTCTATTTTTTATATTACCATAAAAATAAGCTGTAAAATACTCATAAATGAAATAAGTTTGGTGCTTAGGGGCCTGTCCTGATTTTTGCCATTTCTCTTGTTGGTCCTAGACTCGTTATATTAGGATAGATGGAAGTGTTCCATCTTCAGAAAGAATACGTCTGGTCAATCAGTTTCAAAAGGATCCTGATACTCGGGTGGCTATCCTAAGCATTCAGGCTGCTGGCCAGGTAAGCAGTTTCAGGCCTACATTTGATAATGAAATGTCGTTGAGATAATTTTAAAAGGCCACTAACCATAACTTCAGTTTATACACTTATAACTTTATATCTAGTTGTCTAGTGTTATAAATATTCATTCTATTTCTGAGAATGCCAGAACTTTTAATAGAAACAGGTCTCATTGTCTTTGTCTCAAATCTTTTTGAATTTTAAGGAAAGAATTTCCATGAAGGATATAGTTAATTGTATTGTAATACCTGTCCATGACCTTTTGTTCTTTGAGTTTGCATAGAGTTTTTTCACACTGTTCTTATAGCACTTACCTGACTTGGTTGTGTTTTCTCAGGGTTTGTAATGCAAGAGGGCCTATGAAAAAAGAACTCTTCTGATTCAGAACTTTTTCTGGAGTTCTTGTTTGTCCCTTAGTATTAGGTTTTGCTGCAAAGAATTCAAATTCAGATTAAGAGTAATTTAAAGGGTCGGCACTGTGGCATAGTAGGTTAAGCCACCATCTACAGTGTCAGCATCCCACATGGGCATTTTTTCAAGTCCTCACTGCTCCACTTCTGATCCTGCTCCCTGCTAATGTGCCTGGGAAAACAGCAGAAGATGGCCCAAGAGCTTGGGCCCCTGTACCCACATGGGAGACCTGGATGAAGCTCCTGGCTCCTAGCTTCAGCCTAACCCAGTCCTAGCCTTTGTGGCCATTTGGGGAGTGAACCAGCGAATAGAAGATCGATCGATCGATCTATCTATCTATCTTTCTTTCTCTCTCTCTCTCTGTAATTCTTTCAAATAAATAAAAAGATTTTTTTAAAGTAATTTAAATACACAGTTGTATTCTCATGCAGCCTGGCCACGCCTAGCTCAGCAGTTCCACAGAGTCCATAGGACCCTTCTGGCTTTCTGCTATACCACTCCACAAGCTTCTCTTCTTGCCTAAGAAGCCTGCTAGAGCATCTCCGTCATATCTGAATTCCAGTCAACCGATGAAGACGGACACACTGCCTCTCACTGCCTGCACTTAATCCCATGGCTGCCTGTGACTTAGAAGGAAGCTGATGGAGTAGCCTCTTTCCCTCGTAGCTCCACTAGAAATCAGGTGTTATATTCCAAGGACACAGGTTAGGGAAGAATACACGTGAGGGAAAGCACTGGCAGTCTCTGCCATACTATGGTAGAGGGGATCCTTCTGGACCTTTTTTCTGTTAATATTTGAAAGTATTTTGATGTAAATATCTAAACCAAGATATTTAGCATAAGGGAAACTAACCATACTGCTATGCCTAACCTGGTATATGCCAAAGACCTGCTTTTACTCAGATAATTGGTAGATAGATAGATAATCAGAGAGAGATAGTGACTCCATGAAGATGAAGCACTACTAGAACTCACTAGGAGTTCTAACCAAAAGAATGTTCTCAACACTTACCGCATGTTGGATTAAGCTTTAAATAATCTGAGTTTTATATTGGTTTGAATATTCCAGTCATGGAAGATATCATCAAAAAGAGCTTAAAATTAGATGGAGGATTCTTTATAGGGAATAAGTAGGAGAAAGCTAGATAGGAAAATTTGAGACTTTTTTTAAATTAGAAAATATAAAAATAATTTTAAAATTAAAAATGTACAGGAGATTCAGCTTTCTTAAAGTTGTATTCCTGTAGAATTTATGTAAGTGCACATACTTGAAGACTGTACTGTCATAGGAATAAAAGAAAGTAGAAAGAACTGTGTTCTTGGCATTGTAAATCTTAATTTTAGTGTACTCAACTTCCCAGAGTGCCATTAATCTTGCCAACTTATTTTTCCAATATTCTTGTATAGTCATTTGATATGTTTCACAAACTTAAAAGTTATCCCTCTTTAAATGCTACTTCTTCAGTCTTATCTCTAAAATTTTAAGGCATTTTCAATCCTAGGTAACAGTATGATTTAACATTGTGGTTTGTTTGGCTCTGTCTATGTTTTATTTAACTTTCTGAAGTGACTGATTTTTAGTGAAATTTTCAGCTTGAGAACTAGTGCAGCCAATGAATGAATGCTAATATGACTTGATGTGATATGAAAATGTTTTAAGTTATCATGCTTTATCCCATAATGATAGCATAGCACTCACAAATGTCACTTACTTACAGAAGTTGCAGTGTGTATGAGCAGCAAGGATTAGACAATACTCCCAAAGGACGGTGGGATTTTTGTCAGCCACTTAATATCATTCACTACTGTATGGCAGTGGCATAAGCATGGCTCACGTTTCACTCAGCCTACCTACTTTAAATTTGAAGTCATGCATTTTTGGATCCAGTTTTAGATTTAGGAGATTTGCTTTATTTCATATATTGACTATAAAACAAGATTTGGTTAATAGTTTTTGTTGTACCATTTCAAATTCATTCATTTTAGGCCGGCGCCGTGGCTCACTTGGGTAATCCTCCGCCTGTGGTGCCGGCATCCCATATGGGCGCTGGGTTCTAGTCCCGGTTGCTCCTCTTCCAGTCCAACTGTCTGTGTGGCCCAGGAGGGCAATGGAGGATGGCCCAAGTGCTTGGGCCCCTGCATCCACATGGGAGACCAGGGGGAAGCGCCTGGCTTCTGGCTTTGGATTGGCGCAGCGCCAGCCGTAGTGGCCATTTGGGGAGTGAACCAACAGAAGGAAGACCTTTCTCTCTGTCTCTCTCTCTCTGTCTATAACTCTACCTGTCAAATAAATTTTTAAAAATTCATTCATTTCAACGGTACATTTGCATTTTATATATATATATATGTATGTATATATATGCATATATATAGAGAGAGAGGGAGAGAGAGAGAGAGGTAAACTTCAGGGTCTGTGAAATGTAACATGGGGAATATCACAGGAAGAAAACAATATGACTGGACACTTGATTTTCTTACTTTATAGCCCAGCAGTATGAAGTAAATAAAGAAGATGTCAATGAAGTCTTCCTCGTTGCTATGGATACCATGTGTTAGAAATTATATTCTCATTTATAATATATTTTATTAGATTTTTCCAGTGGCAATGTGAATTCAGTTTTCATCAAGATACAGTAATTTTGTTTATAAATATATATATCAAACTGACTTTTGAAATATTGAAATAGCTTTTAAATGTGTTTTTTTGTAGTTAACCTGACTATTTTGCAGCATACAGTCTTCATATACCCTCTTAATTTGGCTTAAAGTGAGCAGCTGATTGCTTTTAAGTCCTTTAGTGTTTTCTTTCCATTTAACATGTTCTGAAAAACTTTATTATATATGGGCTTTATGTTTTATTCTCAATTTGTTTGCATCTCAGTTTCGTCACTTTATTTTGTGCAGGGTTTAACATTTACCGCTGCTAGTCATGTCGTATTTGCTGAGCTGTATTGGGACCCTGGACATATAAAACAAGCAGAAGATCGTGCTCATCGGATTGGACAGTGCAGTTCTGTGAATATTCACTACCTTATTGCCAATGGAACTCTAGACACTCTTATGTGGGGAATGTTGAATCGTAAGGTAAAGCTTGAGTTTCACTCATGTCATTAACGTATTTACTGTAATCCATACTATTCAGGAATCAAGAAGCAGAGTTTAATGTGTTCAGGGAAAAGATATAACCAGCCACGCCACGATAATTTAATAATAGAGATTAAGTTCAGAAAAGACTTCAACTTGTACTACCTTACCTGCTATCCTTTAAGAAGAGAGGCTTGGAGCCTGTGCTGTGGCGTAGCTGGTAAAACCACTGCCCACTGCCTGCATTGCCGACATCCCATAAGGCACTGGTTTGAGTTCCAACCAACTGCTCTACTTTCAATCCAGCTCTCTGCTATGGCCTGGGAAAGCCGCAGAAGATGGCCTAAGTGCTTGGGCCCCAGCACCCATGTGGGAAACCCAGAAGAAGCTCCTGGCTCCTGGCTTCATATCTATGAAGCTCCGGCCATTGCAGCCATTTGGGGAGTGAACTAGCAGATGGAAACACCTCTCTCTCTCTCTCTCTCTCTCTCTCTCTCTCTCTCTCTCTTCTCTATCTTTCCCTGCCTCTCTATAACTCTCCCTTCCAAATACATAAATAAATCTAAAAAAAAAAAGAAGAAGAAGAAGACAAAGAAGAGAGGCTTGGATTTCCATGATTCCTATTATCTTCCAAGCCCTTCTACTTTAGAGGCTAGGATCAAGTCAGCTCACAAGGAACCAGGCTGTTTCAAGCTCTAAGTCCTTTTTGTAACCAAAGATAAAGACTTTCCAGAAGGATTCTTGAGTTCGTAACTAATTTTGGGAAGTGGACAGCCTGTACCCAGGCCCTAAAAAACACAGGAATGATGTTACTTGCTCTGTCCTTTTTGGTAATGTCTTTTTCTCTCCAGCTTTGAAAAATGTATATAGAATGTATTTGAGAAAGGATTTCTGTTTTTGTCTTTTTGGGTTACTATAACAAAGTGCTATGGATTGGGTGACTTACAAACAACAGCAATTTATTTTTTACATTTCTGCAAGCTGGACTTCCAAGATCAAGATGCCGGCATGGTGAGGGCCTTTTTCTGTCTTGCAGATTACTGACTTCTTGTATCCTCATATGTTAGAAAGAGGACAAGAGAACATTCTGGAGTTCCAACTCTACCTCCATGACCTAATCACATCCTAAAGGTCCCACCTGCTAAAACTCTCATATTGAGAGTTAGGACTTCAAGATAGGAATATTGGAGAAACAAGTCTAATATATTCTGACTTGGCCCCCCAAAATCCATGTCTTTTTCGCATGAACAGTACATTCTTCTATCTCAGTAGTCCACAGACTCTTACTCATGCTATTGCTAACCATAAAGTCCAAAGTCTGAAGTTCAATAGCTCATGTTAATCACCATCTAAATCCAATGAAGATAAAACTCATCCTGAAGCAAAATTCCTCTCCAGTCTAGAACCTGTGAAATCAGAAAAGTTATATGCTTCCAAATTACAACTATGAGAGAGGCATAGGCTAGCCATTCCTATTCCAACAAGGGAAAAATAGAAAAGAAGAAGGGGTGTCTGGTTCCAAGTTAGCCTAAAACCTAGCGAGGCAAACTACGTAAGATATTGCACTCAAGAATAATCCTCTTTGGATCTGCCCCCTGTCTTCCAAGCCTGCTGGGGTAGTGGTCCTGCCATCCAGATCTACTGGAGTAGAGGCCCTGTTTTTTGGACCCAGGAGGGTAGAAACACGGGCTTCCTGTGGTAGCCCCACCCATGCCTTGACTATATTGTGACCCCATCTAAGATGTACTTCTTACTGCAACAAGAGATCACAGACCCAGGGCTCTGCATTCTGGGCCTATGGCAAGAGTGATAGCCCTGATGAAGTCTGAATCACCTCTAGAGTCCTCCATCCTTTTCTCAAAAATAACACGTATTTGCAGCTGAGTACTTATATGGTCTACTCCGGTGTGGTCTAAGAAGTCTGACCGTCTATCATTTGCCCCATTGTCTCTGTTTCCATTAGTCCCAACTGGCAGTGTTTCCCCTGATGTGGTCCCAGCTCTGTTCCTGACTTTTCTTGAGATGGCTCATTTAAGTCTGTGGTTCACATCCATACAGATCTCCAGATCAGTCACTTGGCCAAATTCTCAGTAATCTCTTTCTCATCTTTTGCAATTTCAATAGACTGAGAATTTCGTGGATTTTACATACTGGTTCCTTCTCAACACTTCTGCCTTCAAATCATTTTTCTCTTCTTGCATTCTATAACAAGTTGTCAGGAGAAGGCAAATTGCTTCTTTAAGTTTCCTCAATTAAACATATAATTTTGTTGCTTGCAAGTTCTGCTTTGGACAAAACACTAGAATATGAGCACAATGCTGCCACGTTCTGTGCTACCTTATAACCATATCTGCCTTTTCTGCAGTTTCCAATCATATATTCTTTATTTCCATCTGTGACCTATCAGAATGGCCTTTACCATCTGTATCTTTTTTTTTTTAAAGATTTATTTATTTTACTTGAAAGTCAGCATTACACAGAGAGAGGAGAGGCAGAGGCAGAGAGAGAGAGAAAGAGAGAGAGAGGTAGGTCTTCCATCCGATGGTTCACTCCCCAGTTGGCCACAAAGGACGGAGCTGTGCTGATCTGAAGCCAGGAGCCAGGAGCTTCCTCTGGGTCTCCCACGTGGGTGCATAGGCCCAAGGACTTGGACCATCTTCTACTCTTCCCCAGGCCAAAGCAGAAAGCTGGACTGGAAGGGGGGCAGCCGGGTCTTGAACCGGCGCCCATATGGGATGCTGGCATTTCAGGCCAGGGTGTTAACCTGCTGCACCACAGCACCGGCCCCCAACCATCTGTATTTCTATCAGTATTCTCTTCATAATTACATTGATGTTCTCTAAAAGACAGAAGCTTTCTCTACAAGTTTATTCTTTTCTTTCTACGCTCTCACCAAAATAGCCTTTAAATTTTCATTTATGCCAATCTGGGATTTTTCTAGCATATACTTCATAGCTCTCTCGGTCTCTACCTATTGCTGAGCTCCAAAGTGCTTCCATATTTTTAGCTATTTGTTACAGAATTGCCCTTACCTTTTAGGTTCCAATTTCTGTGTTAGAAACTTTGGGCTATTATTACAAAGTACCATAAACTGGATGGCCTAAAAATAGGAGAAATTTATTTCGCCCACTTCTGAAGGCTGGTACTCAAAAGAGCAAGGGTGCCAGCAGGGTCTGATGAAAGCCATCCTCCAGGTTGTAGATGGCTAACTTCTCACTGCTTTCTCACATGGTAGAAAGAGGGCAAGATAACTGGGGTCCCCTTTATAAGGATGGTAATCCCATTCAGGAGCACTCCACCTTCATAACCTAATCACCAAGGCCCTTACCTCACCTGCATGAGAGTTAGAATTTTTCAGCATAATGAATTTTTTAGTGGTGCACAAATAGTCCATTGCACTATTTTTTAAGCCCTGAGTATAGACATTTGAAACACTCATACTATAGGTTAAATTTTAAAATATAGAAATATTTGGATAAAAGTTATGAAAAGGCAGATAGTTAGCCCTTTTCCTCATTAAGCAAAGGACTCACTGACTTGGTAATTTGGTTGTAATTTTGAGTAATTATGCTATTAAAATCCATGAAATATTGGAAAAATAAAATTTTCTAGTAGATAGCTTGTGATTTAAGTGCAAAATCAAGTGAAAAGTGCTTATGTTTTTCCATCTTTCAGGCTCAGGTTACAGGGAGTACATTGAATGGTAGGAAGGAACGACTTCAGGCAGAGGAAGGAGATAAGGAAAAATGGGATTTCCTGCAGTTTGCTGAAGCTTGGACTCCAAATGACTGTTGCGAAGAGCTCAGGAAGGATGTTTTGTTCACTCATGTAAGATTAAATTTATTTTTCTTTTCTATTGTAATATCCTGAAACTATAACTTTATCGTGTATTGTTTTAAGTAGCAATTCTCAGTGATTCTTACTATTGAAAGGAGACTTCACATAAAGTTGGAACCCTCATTGAACAAAAAATTTATACTGATAGAAGCAGGCTTGTATTTTCCCATAGTTTCCACATTCCTTTGTTCAGCTCCTTAGTAAACAAGCCAAATAGATTGTAACCTGCAGAACATATAGGTCACTGTCTTTATGACCCTGAGGATATGGAAAGGTAAACTCAATTTGCTTCAAAAAGCACACATTATAAAAATAATGAGATATTTGATTATATCAAAATCAAAAACGTGTGTTACACAAAATGGCTTATGAACAAGTCACAGACTCAGTAAAGATGTTTGCATTACAATGTCCAAAGTATAGGAAGAATTTATTCAACTTAGTAAACCACTACCAAGTCAGCAGAAAATGAAAGAATGGCAGCGCCACAGGAGAACTGAATACAGTCTACAGATACAAGAAAAGCTCTGCCTCACTGACATGAGGCAAATGTGAAGATCCCTTCTCCTTCCTCTATAAAATTAGGAAGCTGTGGTGTGATACTTTCAGGTCATGTGAAAATTCTGTTCCCAAAACATTTCACCCAGTGGGGTTACATTCATTAATGACCTTTCCTTGAATTAATTTTAAAAAGGTAGTTTCTCCAATTCCATTCTATGTTTACTAACTTGAATTTTTCTGTAAAGATCTTTACTTGCCCCTGGAAAAGTATCATTATGAACTTAGAGATTCTTTTTATCAGTTGTTATTATTAGTTAATCCTTCACCTTTTTTTTCCTAACTTAGATCTGGCAAGTGAAATTTCTTTAAGCTGACTTTCTGTTTCCCCTTTTGTCCCCATAAGTCTCTGAGTGCTTCCTTACATTTTGCCAAAAAATAAAAAAATGTATCCATGTTCACCTTGAATTTTCTTTGCCTCAGGATTAGAACTGGCCGTTTCTTGAGCCCTGTTTTTTTTTTTTTCTTTTTTTAAAGAAACTGGGATGATATTTCTAATTTAGGATTTTTAAGAGTTCCTCTGAGATATGTTTACTTCTAGGGTCTTTTCAGTATACAGAGATACATACACACATACATATATATTTGCATAGGTAGATATATCTGTATGCATATGTGAGGGTACTTCAGAAATTTTATAGAAATGAAATTTTAAAATGTTTATTTTGATGCAAAAAACCCTGAAATCCACATGCAAAGACTCTTAGAAAGTTTGTTGAAAATCTATATTATGAAAAAACTGCATTGATTTCAGAATTTTTGTACCCAAGTAAACTTATCTTCTCATTCCATTTTCTACTAACTCCTTGAATTGTCCTTGTATGGAAGCAATTTTAAGCCATAAATTCCTACTAATTCCTCCTATTGAAATCCAGTATCACCAAATTCTTTGCCTTCTTCTTATACCTATAAAAATATAAATATTTACATTTCTTTTATCCAATAGCAAAAATCCTGATTCCTAATATCAACATATTTACTCATTTGCTCTGTCTTTCAAAACATGTAAAATAATTTTTAAATTATACCTGTACCACTATCTACAACTGAGTAAAATTCAAGATTTCTTTTCAGTTCTATAGAATGTCTCATGAATGATACATGGTCTTGTAGTCTGCTTGAATTCTTTTTTTCCATATTGTAGATATGTATTTAGGTTCGCTTGTTTCATTTAATTGTAGGATTTTATTTTTTTAAATCCTTTTGATTTAACTTTACTTTTTGAACATTTAAAATATTTAGATAGTTGAAAAGTCAAAACTATATTTAAAAAGTACGGGCCGGCGCCGCGGCTCACTAGGCTAATCCTCCGCCTAGCGGCGCAGGCACACCGGGTTCTAGTCCCGGTCAGGGCGCCGGATTCTGTCCCGGTTGCCCCTCTTCCAGGCCAGCCCTCTGCTGTGGCCCGGGAGTGCAGTGGAGGATGGCCCGGGTGCTTGGGCCCTGCACCCCATGGGAGACCAGGAAAAGCACCTGGCTCCTGGCTCCTGCCAGGATCAGCGCGGTGCGCCGGCTGCAGCGGCGGCCATTGGAGGGTGAACCAACGGCAAAAAGGAAGACCTTTCTCTCTCTGTCTCTCTCTCTCACTGTCCACTCTGCCTGTCAAAAAAAAAAAAAAAAAAAAAAAAGTACACCCAGAGAAGTCTTACTCTTATTCCTATTTTTGTTTGCTAACTGTCCCATATAGATAACCATTTTTATGAATTTCTGGTATAATTGTCCCTAGGTTTTCTTTTCTTTTCTTTTAAGATTTATTTATTCATTTGAAAGACAGAGTTACACAGAGAGAAAGAGAGGCAGAGAGAGAGGTCTTCCATCTGCTGGTTCACCCCCCATATGGCTGCAAAAGCCGGAGCTGTGCCGATCCAAAGCCAGGAGCTTCTTCCGGGTCTCCTACGTGGGTGCAGGGGCCCAAGGACTTAAGCCATCTTCCACTACTTTTCCAGGCCATGGCAGAGAGCTGGATCGGAAGAGGAGCAGCCAAGACTAGAACTGGCACCCATATGGGATGCCGGCACTGCAGGCAGTGGCTTTACCTGCTACCACAATGCCATCTTTTTTTTTTTTTTTTTTTTTTTTTAGATGTATTTATTTGAAAGTCAGAGTTACAGAGAGACAGAGATCTGCCATCTACTGGTTCACTCCCTAGATGTCCACAACAGCAAGGGCTGGGCCAGGCCAGAGCCAGGAGCCAGGAACCAGGAACCAGGAGCTTCTTCTGGGTCTCCTACATGAGTGCAGGGGCCCAAGCACTTTGGCCATCCTATGCTGCTTTCCCAGACCATTAGCAGGGGGCTGGATCGGAAGTAGAGTAGCTGGGACTCAAACCGGAGACTTGTAGGATGCTGGCATTGCAGATGGCAGTTTTCTCCACTGCACCCACGGCCGGCCACCCAAAGTTAAACTTTCAGTGCTAAGCTGAGTTCCATAGAAATATTATTTTTTATGTAGAATTGTGATAAACTTTTAATATTTTAATATGTCTTATTTGGAGGACTGGTACATTTTTCCCCCTTAGAATACCAGAATGCCACTGATATTTTATAAATTTATTTATTTGAAAGGCGTGGTGATAGAAAGAGGGAGACAGAGATCTTGCTTCTGCTAGTTCATTCTCCATATGCTTCCAACACCTGGGACTGGGCAAGTCTGAAACCAGGAGCCAGGAACTCCATCCAGGTCTATCACATGTGTGGGGGGACCCAAGTACTTGGGCCATCTGCTACTTCCCAGGCACATTAACAGAACCCTAAATTGGAAAGGGGGTCAGAACTCTATCCCAGACACTTTGATATGGGATACAGGTGTTCCAGGATACAATTTAACCATGCCACAATGCTTGATTTTTTTTTTATTAAAAAACCATTTTCTGAAGTAGGGGTTTGGCACAATGGTTAAACACTGCTTTGAGGGGCTGGCACTGTGGCACAGCAGGTTAAAGCCCTGGCCTGCATCACCAGCATACCATATGGGTGCTGGTTCAAGTCCTGGCTGTTCCACTTCCAATCCAGCTCCCTGCTGATGCACCTGGGAAAGCAGTAAAGGCTGGCCCAGGCCCTTGGGTCCCACCTACGTGGGAGACCAGAAAGAAGCTCCTTGGTCCTAGCTTCAGATCAGTTCAGCTCTGGCCATTGCAGCCATTTGGGGAGTGAGCCTGTGGATCAAAGACCTCTCTCTCTTCTCTCTCTCTCTCTCTCTCTTTGTAACTCTGATTTCAAATAAATAAGTACTTATTTATTAATAAATCCAAATGCTTCAGATTCCCACATCCTATAGAAGAGCCTCTGCTTCCAATCCAGCTTCCTTCTCATGTGAACCCTGGGAGGCAGCTGGCTTCAGCCTCACCTAGCCCTGGCTGTTGTGGGCATTGGTCAATGAACCAGTAGATGGAAGGTATCTCTATCTATTTCTTTGCTTCTCAAATAAAATGAAAATAATTTTTTAAAAAATGTAAAAATCCTTACCTTTTATGACTGTTTCTTGTATATTGTTCTACAAAAAAACAACACAAATCCTAAGTTATTTCAAAAATATATAAATGAAACTATGATTTGTGGCTTTTCTTTCTTTAAAATTTCCCAACTATCAAACTATGTTTGAGTTCATTTCTAATATAGGCATTAAGAATTTGAAAAACATCCTCCTGTATGTGTGTGTGTGTGTGTGTATATATATATATATATATATACATGTTTATTGTGTTTTAAACATTTGCTGAAGAAAAGTGTTTATGTACAGTTTAAAAAAAATCACCCTTACCAAATCTTACTTTCTTAAGTTAGATGTGTATATTTTACAGTTTAAGCAGATTTTCCAAGGTATGTCTTTATACACACATGGCTTTATGTAAATTGGAATCTTACAATGTAGGAATCCTTTGTTTATTTTAATTTGTTTTGCTTTCCTATCACTTGTTTTGTGCTTTGCCAGGATGTGAAGAGTGGGGTTTTAAGATTATTTTTTTGAGAAGCAGCGACAGAGATGGAGACAGAGCGATATTGCTTCCTTCTACTGGTTCATTTTCTAAATGCCTGGAATGGCCAAGACTGGGCCAGGGCCAAATAGGAGCCAGGAACTCAATCCAAGTCCACAAGGCTGGCAGGAACCCAAGTATGTGAAACATCATTGCTGCCTCCCAGGATCGGCACTAACAGGAAGCTGGAGTCAGGAATCAGAGCCAGAACTGGGTATCAAACCCAGGTACTCTGATGTGGGACCCAGGTGTCTCAACCTATGTCTTACTTGCTAGACTTAACATCTACCCCTGGAATATGCTTTGACTGACTGGGTGGGCGTGCTCTCCCATCTCTCTGTCCTGATCCCCTCTAGCCTCATGCATTTAGAGGAGTGTTCAGTTTTTGAAAGGTCCCAAGAGAACACAGTCTAGCTAACCTTTTTTCTTCTGAATGCTTGCCAGAATTTCAGCATTTTCT